AAAGAGATAGAACAAGAGAGAGAAAGAGAAGGAAGCAAAAGATCGATTTAGAATTGTCGAGTTTTAAGATCCGTCGCGAATCGTGCGATGCGTTCGTTCGCTGACATAATTTTATTAAATTACGCTGTCTCAAAGGTGGTACGGGAACACCTTAAGTAATATCGCCGAGCTACGTAAAACGCCCGTGTACGACTTGACAGCTACGCCGTAACTGATATTACGAAATGTTGCAAAACTTTCGTGAGGCACGTCACGAGAGAAAGAGGGCTTTCTCCGTTTCCACTTGTATTCGTTCGTGGAACAATTAACGATTTCCAGCAAGGGATGCTGGAAAACAAGAAAAAAAATAACAAGCAAAGAAACACCACCTACTCAACAGGATTACCTAGACGAATGTGCATTTAAACGAAAGGTAGTATTTTCTAAAATATTTATTCACATTACGAATAATCATAATGGCAAGAAGTTTATCCGTCGTATTTGTCAGGAAGAGTCAGTGTTTCAAAATAACAACTAACTTGGCAAGTGGATAAAAACGGTATACCATTCGCGAATAAACGTAGGAAAACGATGAAACGAGCGAACGAACGGTTTACACGCGAGCTGAGATAACAACGAATAGAAAATGTTGTTACACCTTATCAAAAGTATAAATATCTTTCATGAGAATTATATACAAGGGGGAGAACATCGATATTCCCACGAATTACGTTTAGAAAGTCGAGAGTTTTGCGAAATAACCTGCGAATGGCTTTTTAATGTTCCATTTACGAATTTTTCATTTCTTTTTTACGTAGCGTTAAAAAAATATGTCAATTAATGAAACGTAAGGTATGACATCGCTCGTAAGATACTTTCTAGATTTCTCGAAGAATAAATCATCCTATTTAATTTCGATTTGTCGACTAATTGATCGATTCGTAGATTTATGAAGCAAAGTTTGATTAAAAAAAAAGACAAAAAAAACTTCCTAACCGTGGCACTAATTTCAAGAGTTAGACACCGTAACGAGAGTGGAACAATAAAAGTGGTTAACTATTCGTCCTTGCCAAGGTATGCACTTAAAAGCTTGAAAACGAAACGCGTCTGTGCAATGTTAGTATGTTGAAAGCGATATATCGTAAACGATCTAGCATAATTTATTTTTCTGTAATTTATTCGACGTTGTTTTCTTTTTTTAAATGGATGCTTCTGCTGTTGTGCTCGACTAACCAGAATATGTTCTACATTTTGTAATTATACTAGAAAAGAAAAAAGAACAAAATATCGGTCAATGCGATTAGGATGAATCAGCGTGATTTTACGTTAAACCAGAATTTAATGATATCATTCAATTGAAATAGCGAATTTAAAAATATTGCACCAGCAGGATCAACCTTTTTTTTCCTTTTGTTTTTACAAAATCATACGTAAACCAAAATAAAATAAGAAAAATATTAAATAAAGTAATAAAGAAGTAAGGAAACGAGATAACGAGATCTTTCATCGAAAAATGATTTCTTCCTTCTTCTTCTTCTTCTTCTTTGTTTTATTTTTTTTTCCCTAACTTTAAACGTAATTTCTTCATCATACGAAACCGCTTAAAGGTTGAAAAATGAAACAAAATTGAGGAAGGGTGAGGAGCTCTCGTTAAATCGTTCGGCAAGTTCCTCAATCCGTAAAGTAGTTTCGAGTAACGAAACGATTATGGTTCTTTCGAATACATCGACAAAATAAAATAAAATAACTGGTCTGAGAAAAAAAGTAGTGGTGAATCTACCTTCTTAAAATATAAGCGAGAAGACAAAAAAGGTCACGTAATGTGTTGGTAATGGTTTAAAAAGGGCTCCATACTTGTTGCTTTTGTCTAGGACAACGAATTGGCCGTGAGGAACCATGACCTAGATAGCATAGTCGAACAACGATCGCAAAGTAAAAAAGAAAAAAAATTGTCGGACAAATCCTACGTCATCGTTTTTAGAGAGAACCATTGTCTTGAAAATTCGTACCGAAACAGTGCAACGCACTTCGAAACACTTTCGAATTTTCTGGAACGTGTTGATGAGCTTCTTTTTCGCTGGTCTTTGCCCAATTGCGATAGCGAGAGTGGAACTCGTCATTAGAAGATAATTTGCTCGACGAGGTGGGCCCTATTGCGACAGGGATTAACAGGCTACCATCGTTAGAGAACACGTTACCAACGTTTATTAAATTATTACCTCCTTTTTCTTTTCCTTTTCAATTTAAAATTCACGAGAATCTGGTCAGTGTTGAGGAATAAATGAGAGAGGTTTTTTGTGTTAGGTTTTTTTTTCGTTTGAACGAACAAAGTCAAGATCGATTGCGAATACATTAAGAGTGGATAAATAATAATAATAATAATAAATAACATATTTTAAGATAACACGTATGCGTATATGTGTATTTACCTATTAAAAGAGATGCAATCATTTTTATTATCCAAATATTTTAATTTATCGTCATGGTGGGATTTTAATTCGAGGCAAGAAGAATTCGACTGGTGACGAGTGTAAAAATCGAGGAGAAAGAGAATCTCTCAACATATACATGTATTTATGTTCGTTGTACAATGAAAGAATTGAATGTGTGCAAATAGTATGCGTTTGTATATAAACAGGCTTGCATAATAAATCAAGTGGCATTAAATGACACCAGTTTGATATATGAATGTGACTCTTTTTGTCTTTCGCGATAAATACCGAATTTGTAGTCAACGAGAAAAAGGGTAATATAAAAACATTATTTCTTTTTATTTTTGCTACTTTTGATAGTTGGTCTAGGTCGATAAAAAGTTTTTTCTTAGCCGTCCATGACCCACATGGGAGTCTCAAATGCCACTTATATTTTTTTATACGATTAATATGATAAGAGGGTGAGAAACAAAAACACGTATATGCTTTTTCTTGACAAGGGACACAATAACTGTAATTTATCACGATTAAAAAGACTCGGGATACGGAATTAATTTTCATCTCGTGAAAAAAAAAAATTAAGAATTTTAAATACGTGCGTGCGTTATAACGAAGATCATTTTGCCATAAGTGATTACAGGATGTTACTCCCACACAAAAAAAAAAGGAGAAAACGTAAGAAGAAAAAAAATAATAATAATCATTAAAGAAAGGGTTACTTGACCAGTGTTTTTCTTCGTTTCATGCGAATAAAGAAAAAAAGAACGATTAGAATATTCGCGAGTGATGGATTCGATTGATTCGATCAAGTTGGAGTTGGTGAAATTTCCCGCGAAAACTGCGTACACAACACTCTCTTTGCTACTTCGATTACGTAAGAGTGGTCCGCCTTCGGGTGATCGGGTGAAACGTTTCCACGATGGGAGAGAAGTAAGTCTGGGTTGCGTCTTAATACGCATTCAAAATCGAGTTTTCAAAGAGAGAGAAGGAAAGATAAAGACGAACGAACGAACGAACGGACGTAAATACGTACGGATGGAAAAAGAGAGAACCGAACGAAAAAAAAAGAAAGAGAAAGAAAGAAAGCAAGAGAGAGAAAGAGAAAGAGAAAGAGAGAGAGAGAGAGAGAGAGAGAGAGAGAGAGAGAGAGAGAGAGAAAAGAAAGAAGAAGCCATTTTAAGTAGCATTAATATTATTTCCATATCGTACATTACGAATCTCTCTCATTAGCCGGCGCCCGCGCTTTTCCCAGACAGTAATGCAAATTAAAAATCACTTGTAAAGAGAAAAAGATAGTGAACAAGTGAAAGAAAGATAGAGAAAAAAATAATGATAATAAAAAAAAATTAAGAGAGAGAGAGAGAGAGAGAGAGAGAGAGAGAGAGAGGGAGAGTGTGGTATCTGAGAGCGTCAGGACGGTGCTTCCATGACCCAGATAGCACCGGGTGCCGCGCATCCTCCGCACGAAAACAAGGATGCGAGGATATCTCTACGGAAGGATATTCGAGAAGAGTCAAGTCTTCCTATCCTCTTGTTACGTCTTTGATTCTTATTTGCGAATTTCTTCGAAAGAAATATTCTCTTCTCTTCGTCTTCTTCTTATTATTCTTCTTCTTCTTCTTTTTCTTCTCTTTGTCCATTTTTGTTTTCTACTTCCTCTCCTTCCTTATCAAAGCCCGTATTTCGTCGTTTACTCGTCGACCAACACGGACGAATCGTCGTCGATGGGTTGTTTTCTCCGCACGGGCCCGAGAATCAAGCTACTGGGACAAGGTTGTCAGGGCCCATAACTATCGTACCGCTGGCACAAAACAATACGTGTCTTCATAGCGAGCTATTGGCTACGTCATGCTCTCTCTCTTTCTCTTTCTTTCTCTCTTTCATTTTCTTCTTTGTATTCCTTTATCTCTATCTCTTTGTCGAGCACGTACTTACTTGCACGTAAATCGTCGAGTAATTAAATCAATTCCACATCGTTTAGTTTACAAACTGTTTTTTATGGAAATTAAATTAACCCTCTGAGATAAGAATAGTAATTATTCGCGTATCTTGTAATGTTCCTCAGTCGATTATTTCCATCTGTTATACGTTAAATAAATCATTTTACTTTAATATATGTAATCTAATTATCTAACCGAGTTAAAATAAACACGAATTAACACGCAACAATATTTAAAAACAAACAAAAAAAAATCGAATTCAAAAGGGTCAACGCCTCAGTGACACCACAAATTCAGTAAATCCATTTGGAATTAATTTTAATGAAATCGTCGAACGCGAAATGCCACCACTGCAACACAATACTTGTTTCTCATTAAATAACTAACAGTAATAACAAAACAGTAATAACAACAGAAATGATAAAAAAGAAAAAAAGAAAAAAAGCGATGCTTACCGACGCAACACGTTGAACACGTAGAACACGCTGGATCCTCTTAGGCCCCCCCCCTACCAAGTGTGCTTCCGTGGGGTCGACAAGACCCCCTCTTTCTTCCTTTTCTTTCGTGAATTCGCGTGCGGGGGTCAGATTCTCTCCCTCTCCCTCTCCTTTAAGCCCGTCTTTCCCCGGCGAGAAAGCATGGGACGCACCTTCGCGCTGGGATCACTCGATCCCCCGCAAGTGCCGACACTTGCCGCCGTTTCGATCTTTGAATACCGTGGCATCGCCACAGCGATGACCAGTCTTCGAATTACGAGCGAATCCCGCTTGTCTCCCTGGCGAAACCGGTGCCCAACACCACCGACACAACCAACCATATACTTCTCAATAAAATACTACTTCTTTTTTTTTTAAATTAATTTATTTACTTTTCTCTTCAACGAATTATTTGGTTATCCTTCGTGTTCTCCGATTAAAAGATTTTTTTTTGTATTGTTGCCAAAGTTATTTTTTTATTTTGAGATTATTCTTCTTTTTTTTCTGATTTTGGTTTTGTTGTTTGTGTGTTTGAGAATAAATTTTTTTTTTTTTTTTTACTTACAATTAGTGTAAAAAACGGTACTCGCTTGGGTGTTCTCTCTTCTTTGGACAGGAACTGCTTGGTTTTATCGCCGATCGCTATGTCGGTGAGTAACAGTGCTTACTCTATTCTTTCCTTCTTTGATTATGTTTATCTCTTTTTACTGATTAGCAGAGTATTACTAAGCTGGTGCAAAACGATCTACGTGAATGTCACTGATGCGCGTGATAAATGTTTTCTTTAACGTTACGCGGTTGTCGTCGGGATGGTTAATAAGTGTTACCTCGGTTCACGTTGTTATTGATGAGAATAAATCGAGGACGCTGTCGTGAAAACGATTAATACTACCGTAATCATTATCGATATCATTTTACATGGTTACATACTTGAACAGATGTTTTTCTCTTCTCATAACAAAAAAAAAAAAAAAACAAATGATTTTTAATTAAAAATAATATTTTATATTTTTCATACATTATTATAAATCAATAGGTCGATAGGTTAGATCGAAATGTTCGATCGTTCGATAGAAAGGAATCTAATAATCCAATAGGTAATAAGATTCTCGACTTATGAATCATATTTTATCGATAAGTATACCCAGAGTCTAATGAAAGTAAATCGAGTTTAGAAGCATACAACGTGGGCGGTAGAGAAACGTGTACAATCGCGTGTGGCACCAATTTCGAACAATATTTAAGAGTACAACATAATAAAATATTAAATTTTCATTTATTTTTTCGATCAAAGAAGATAATGAAATTGTTTAAAGTACATTTAAGAATAATTACTTTTCATATCAACGATTATATCGAGTATCGTTAGGTCAATCACTCGTACGTGGATCTTAATGCGACCGTGACACTTGCTAAGAAACAATGCGAGTCACGTATCGAGTCAGCGTTGATTGACTTCATCGTGATTTATAACGTAAACGATCTAAACCATGCGTTGGATCGTCTATAAGTTTTCCCTTGAGCGTATATATCTATGGTTGACTAGTTTGTACGTATAAATGGCCTAATCGCAATGTAATTAAGTTTTTCTACGGGCGATAAGAATAAATTTCATTTGAATCTTCGTTATCTTAATTACAAGTTAAATGTAAAATCATTTATCATGGTTTAATAAAGTTTCAACGACGTACATTTCTATTTATCTATCATTTAAAATGAAGATAATCCTTAGAAGATAAAGATGCTACGAATGTACGAAGTAAGGAAAGAAAATAAAAAATAATAATCCTGACGTTTATGATAATATGGTAATGACCGCGGTAGTTTAATAATTACAGACCTACAAAACAACAACAGGAACAACAAGAACAAAAATAAAGTAGATGGTACACGAAAGAACCAGCTGAGAGGAGAAGCATGAATGAGAATCACACGCATTACGTTACTTCGGTAATCCGATGTTGGTATTGTCAGGGTATATTACGAAACTTCTTACCGAGATTGGTAATATGTGTAATGCGAGTAACCCGCGTAAATTTCATTGCGTTGACGGGCCTCTAGCAGCGTTAAGTCACAAAGAAATCGAGAATAGGACTATAAATTAGACTTGTCGAACGATCGAACCAATGAACGAACGAACGAACGAACGAACGAAAGAACGATCGATCGATCTTTCGTACCCTTTGCTCAACGAATTTATTAACGATCAAACCGATTTTACATGGTCCAGTCGTTTTACTTTGCCACAGGAATGTTATCCTTATCAAGAGTCTGACTATCACCAGAGTTTTTCCACTTACAATTAGTTTAAGTTAAATCCTGTTATTCGCACGAAAAATGATATCTTATTTAAGGATGAGTTCGATCGTGGGAAATAAGTGTTGCTTAAAATTTAGTCATGGACACAAGTGATAGCATTTGAAAGAGCCATGACCCAAACTCGTTGTAAAGACGCGGTTGTGAACGCAAGGATTCCATTAAATACGCATTTCTCGAATCGTTTATAGTGAAACGCGTTTTATGAAGAATAATATTATATATATATATAATAATATTCTCTCTTTTACTCTCGCGTCGAATAACTCAATTCACTTTCGGAAGTGGTTCGCATTATGAAAGTGACTGTGGAAAAGTCGTATACACGCTTCGTTGAATATGGTAACTGCCACGACGTCGTTCAAGCATTTCAGTTCGCCGTAGGATATCGACCGAAAGGATTTAAACATTTCATTTTTATCCCTATACTAATTTTTTTCATTCTATTTATCTCTTGTTCTCTCCCGAAGCGATCAACACGGAATGGCTTTGTTAGATTTACAAAAAAAAAAAAAAAAAAAAAAAAAAAAAAAAAAAAACTATCGATGAATCGAATACGAAAAGAGATAATTGTCTTTCGTAATTCGACAAGAAAATCGATGATATTGTCGGAAGAATTGAAAATAAAATCAATTTCGTCGATTTGCTTGGATTAAAAGTTACAATCGGGTTGTTGAGAGTAACATTTTTCAATAGGATGCAAAGAGGACGGCGGTAATAAAATAGGATACTCGTGCGGACTGAGATTGCAATAGAGAAAGGGTTTAGCCTTGACAAGAGCGGATAACTCTCCCTTGTCCGACACGCTAATCGATTTGTTCTAACGTACTACGTATGTACTTATACATAAATATATATAGAAGAAATGTAAGTATTAGATCATGTAGTACGTGCGAGGTGCATAATCTTCACCGAACAAGGAAATATCGTCGCGCGTATCTTACCAAGTGAGTCGATTTATGGATATACCGAGATATGAAACTTTATTCTACTTCATCTTGTTCGAAAGGTCAGGATACCGGCAGCTATCGCTCAGTTTAAACTGGCGGTGTTAATTCTAACAGAATCACCGCGAGAATGATAGAAAGATAGATAGATAGATAGATGGATGGATGGATAGATAGACGAATAGATGAAAAGACAGACAGACAGATAGACAGACAGACAAGCCTTCGATGTCGCATTTTTTTTCTTCAACTTGTCTTAAATTACTTGAAACGAAATAGCCGACTAGTTTAATATTTAATGTCATACGCCTGCCTACCCACCAACTATACACATCAACGAGACACTAACTCTGTCAAAGAGATAGACGAGTGTTATTGCGTATTAGACGTGCTGGTTAAGAGCACCCTTGGAATTTGGGACGTTGTAACGAACCACGAGAATTGCGATCTTTCTTTTTAGTTTTCTAGTTGTCTTTTAACTTTTCTTTCGAGTGTCGTCTCGTTGGGATTGTTTACGTAGCAGATGTTTGTTACGACAACAAAGACTGTGAACGAGTTCTCCATATGCGTCTAACGCATTTATAATTCAACTCGCTGAAAGTGGATCGATTTAGTTACGCTAGCAATGTATAATAACACAACTCTGTTATACTGTCTCTCTGTTGTAGGGGGTATCTCGTGAGTCTTCTTATAGCTCTTAAAAACACTTTATGATTCATCTTTATCTACCATTGTTTCGAATAAATGTTCACATTACGTTATAACATTTGTATTTTATTGTCTCGCTAATTCGAAAAACATCAAAGAGATTTGAATTAGTCGATTCGTATTCTTTCTTTCTTTTTTATAAACGATTTCGAATCGCGATACGAGAAGTACTGTTTGAATTTAGGCAAGTTTTCTGTTCCCAATCCTGTTGGTCACGTTCTTGCGTAATCGCGAAACGCGTCGTGCGGATATTTAAGACGGCGCCACACCGGACCCGCCACGGTTTCTCATCTTACGCCTTTCTTTATCGAAGTTACACCAAGTGGTGCGTGTGCTTTGGAATGGTGGTGCGTATCAAAGAAAAAGAAAAAAAAACAACAACAACAAAATACTTTTATACGAAAAGAGTAAGCCTTTGTAGATAATGCGATATGATCCGAAAAAAGACGAGATGGGAGTCCACTTTTTTTTTTTTAAATATTGAATTAGTCAATAATAAATGTCAAAATTTACGATATACAAAATATTTGTCTTGTTGATTTAGATAAAAAGTACTATAATATTTCGTAGTACCATTTATTGAAATTTAAAATACCAAACATATTTTTATTATAAAATACAAAAATGTGTATTACTGCGTATGTAAATGTAAATTACTGAAAGATTGATGAAAAAAAATAATGTAAGGGACTACAGAGAAGAAGTACCACCCTACGACGATTTCAATGAGACACAAACAAATATCTCGGTATAATAAAAAGTCATGATACGACATTGCCGTGGCCACGACTATGGCTCGTTTATTTGGCGAGATGCCATGGTCAGATTACAAAGTCACGTCGTGCTTGGTGACTTTTAATGTCAGTTGCTGTCTCTTTATATATACATATCTTTCTCCTTTTTTCTTTCTTTCTTTCTTTTTTCCTTCTTTTTTCAGTAGTATGCTCAAGCAAAGTAAATAGAAAGAGAAATATTTCTCTACGATTAGAAGTCTTAGTCCTACGATTAGCATGATCATTTTCATCTAAGTGAAGTATGATCCTTGTCTCGTGAGAATATAAGCGTTGCTAAATAAGATTCTGTTTAAACAAGTTACTATAATAACAGTAATATAGACGATTGAAAATCCAAATGACGTAAACTGAGTGCGAAAAAATTTTGACTCATCGATCTTATGTTTGTATATTTATTTTTTTTTTCTTTTTGTGAAAATATTTTTTAATATACAAATTCAAAAAAAATTCTTTCCTCTTGCGAATACAACCGAGATTATATATATCTCGGCGATAATAAATAATTCTATTCGCGAGGACTTAACAAAGGTCATGGCATTATCGTATTACGACTACGCACGAATTAGCAAGTCTAAC